TATCTGCAGATTGATAAGTGCTTCTTGATGAATTAAAAACCTTTCATTTACTTGGGTTATAAATGTATCCAAAAGAGGTATAAAGACATTTATTTTATAATATTCTTCTATTGACCCTATATTAATTGGACGATAAGTTTGCCTTACTGCAAGTCGAGGGAGACAAATATTGAACTCGTATAGCTCTGCTTTTGATTCAACATTAACATATAAAATATGAAATTCCTCATCAGCATTAGCTCTAATTTCTTTGAGTTCTAATAAAATTGTCTCTGCTATTCTCATCATCTCAATCAAATCAATATCAGGTATTTGAAAAGTATTACATAAAATAGTTGTATAATTAAATAATTTATTAATACATTCTAATGCGAAAAAAAAGTTTGGCATAAGTATTGAATCCAGTAACTTGTTTGCTTCTGAAGAAATATCTCTTTCAGACCATTGTGATATTTCTGTAAGAGCATTAATAATCGGCTCTTCTAACTCGATAAAAGCTGTTACTGCTTTGTCGAAGACTCTATCTTGTTGGACAAGCTTTTTGCAATTTTTTTCTCCTTGTTGGGCAAGGAGTTTCAAATATAATTCTGTTCAAAATATTTTGACGCTTGGGGTATCTAAACATCTCATATATGTTAGATATTTTACCTGATATAAATATAAAAAATTTAAGTTTAATAATTAAAAACCTAAGCAATTTGATATCAATGGTAAAGAACATGAATCCGATATTGCTAAGTTGAGTGAATGGGCAGCACAGTGGACATAGTTGGGCATATTTTTTTAATAAATGCCTGAAGCCCATTGAATTGTCCACTCATTGCACGTGCTCCATCATACCCTTGCCCATGTATCATATTTATATTTAGCTATATTTTTGAAAATAATTATATAATAAGATTAATTATTACTTTTAATTTTTTAAGATTTACAAATATTACATCAGCTAAAGCAGACCCAGTCATGCTTGAAACAGGAATAAATTGGAGAAACATTTCCTTGATAATGTTTTTATGAGTATCTACATATCGCGCACACAACGACATCTGCTCAATGCCAGCAATGTCCATGGTCTCATCTGCCAAAATTGAGAAGCATGGGGCAGAATTGATTTCAACAATCAATTTTTCTAAAATGATATTGTTGCAAATATCAATTATCTCATTTTGTATCCTATAGCATTTTTATTGGTACTAATGAGGCTCTCCATTAATACAGGATCTCCTAATGCTTTAAATTTTAAAAGTCCACGGAAATTACCTTCGTTATCATTATTATTAAAATTTAAGCTTCCTGAATCCTTGTATCCACGAAGTGCTAGGCCTTGCAAACCACAATATAAAATAGCCTCAATAGTTAGTTTTATCTTGCCTCTATTTTCTTTTGCAATTTTAACCCTATTTTTATCAATTATTGATGAAATGGGAATCATATCCCCCTTTTGAATTGATTCTTTTGAGGAAATCATCAGTTCACAGCTTTTGTTTATTAAATTATTATACTATACTTTTTTGCTTTTTGGCATGATTTTCACCTTCAGCGTTTTTTAAAAAAAGTCTAATATCCATGACAAGAAATTTGAAAATTATAATACCGGGAAATTTAAAAATAATAGATAAATATTACGCCACAAGGAAAACTTGAAAATGAAATTAATTGATAAAGTAAATTAGTAAATGAAAAAGGTAATAATATAAAAATTTAAAAAGAAATAGATATGAATAATTATAATAAATATAAAAAATAATATTTTTGAAAAATATGTCCGGCATCTGCATTTTGGCTTTGGGGGGGGGATTTGTCCCCCTGCCCCCCCCCCCCCGCTGCGTACGCCAATGATAGTCTATACTGAAAATAAGGAATAGATAAATTTATATAGGGATAGGACAGAAAATGATACTATAATAACAATGTTGGAACTAAGATTGTTCAAATTAATCATAAAAAAATATAATATATCAAATTATAAATTAAATTTATTTTTTTAAATATGTAGCACCACCGACGCCAAAGCCAATTTATTAACGATTAAAAATTTAATAAAATCGCCGCCGCCAACTGAAACTTTGACGCCGGTCTAGCTATAGCTATTAATTTTAAATTTAACGTCGCTACTTAAGTAGCTACTTTAAAAATTATGCCGAAATTTTTTTCTGAGCTGATAAAATATTGTACTAACAATTATATAGTTTTTTTAATATTTATAAATGAAATCTTCATTTTGAAATATCAATTCTACATAAAATAAGCCATTTTCTTAATAAAATATTAAACATATATAATTTTAATTAACTCAAAAGTTTTTATTTAGCATAAACATCCTTTTTTCCCAAAAAATATCCTTCGTTAAATTAAATAGCCTCTTAACGGGAAAATAAAATGGGATAGAGGTGTTATATTTCATAAAAAGGAGTTTTAAAATTAAAAACTATTTAAATAGAGTGTGTATCTCATATTTATGATTTCAAAAAATTACAAAATATAAAAGAATCTTGCATCTTAGATGCATGTATTGGAGATACTACCCAACTCTGTCAATACCCATTTTTCAGTTTCTTGGTACAGAGCCTATTTATTAAGAAGAGCATTTTTGAAAAAAATTAATTTTTATTTTTTTAAATTTTATAAATTTATTTAATTTCAATTTAAAAAAGGGTTGATATATAAATACCCAATATTGATTTATATTTTTGAAAGTAGAGTTTAAAAAATTCGGAAAGTGCCTAGACATTTAAGAAAATCATTTATGTAATTATTTTCATTCCTAAAAAACTATCACTTGCCCATAAAAGTTAAGAATCCCTGGGCATGATTCACTTTATTTCTTCTATAAATCGATTTTGATTAATTTTGTTGGTAATCTGTCACAATTCGGAAAAAAGTACCCACAATACCCCGAACAAAAAGGCACCGGACAAAAATATCATCAGACAAAAAAGACACAAGACAAAAACGTCTAAATTGTGATAATTTTTTAAAATTCTTAGAAAAGGGGGAAAGTTTTTGGAAATAATAATTTCTTCTACACATATATGTCAATTTTCACTAAAAAAAATATTGGGATAATGATAATGTGCCGCTGCCGTGCACTATTCCCAAATTTTTATTTTATAAAACCGTACACATAGTATTGGGTTGGCAGCATTACCGGCGGCGTCGTTTCTTTTATAAAACGATCGGCTGGCGGCGGCGAATCAATTTAGACACCGCCACAGAAATCGGCGACGGCGTCAAATACTTTTCTAACTTAAATTTTTTAATTAAAATTATAAATTCATTGGAAACATTTTTAAAATAAAATTTATGCTTTATTATGTCTATAACTATAATTTACGATTTTAAAATATTATTTTATTTATATTTATAGGATATAATGATGATCTTTTATAGTTTAAAGTGAGCCCAGTATGGAAAATACACGCTTGCTGGGTGTGCTTATAGCTGGAACGCACAGGACTTGAAAAAGATTTGATTGGATAAATAATTAAAAAATTCACAAATAAAGATAATCAAAAAATTTACTCTGAAAATGAATAATTATTTTTATCCTCACCATCTTTATCAAGTTCTATTTGCAAGCATATATTATAAAAGGCTTTATCTGCAGCAACACTGGTTCTCTTATTATTTGTTTCAGTTTTTAGTATTAAGGATCCATAATATTTCCATGCAAAAAGGATATACTGTATTTTGTTACAGGGTATTGCAATGCTGCATCCATTATAATTTCTTAGTCCTGCTATGTTTATATATGCTATATGGGCAATAAAATAAAATCATTAATTAAAATTTCCTTTTATGGTAAAAAATAAATTTTATATGATGAGTTAGTTGTAGATTGCATTAAGAAAAATTGATGGTCATATTAGTAATCTGCACCGAGCCTAATTTTTCAAGCCAGGCCCGGCTCGAAATTTTTTTTAAAAAGTTTTGCCCGGCCCGGCCCGAACCCGAAATTGTTTTTAAAAGTTTGGCCGACACGGAAGATAAGATATATGGTATATGGCGTGTTTCTATAAATAAAATCAAATATTTTTATTTTACATAAAAAATTCTACATAAAATTGATTTTCTTAAAAAATATTTATTAATATTTTTCTTCTAATTACAATTCATAAATAATACATAAAATAAATATAATTTATAATAATAAAAAATATGGCATGTTGATCGCCGACACTTTTTTGGCTTCGGTGTGGTCAAAAATCATCGGTGGCGCACAGGTCTAAGTATAGGAAATTATTTGTCATTTAGTAAAAAATTAAGAAATATATTTTAATAAATTGTTTTTTTTAATGACCGCTGGTGGGTCAGTGGCTTGTGAATTTCTCTTCAAAACTATTTTCGGGATACTTTTAAGCTAGCAAGAACGAGCAGTTAGTTAAAGATTAGATAAATGGTAACTAGCCAAAACGAAGAGGGCGTAGGGTAAGAAATCCTGGCTAAGCCACTGATTAAATTATTATTATACATTAAATATTTTCCTCATAAATATTCATGTTAGTTAAAGATTAGAGAAATGGTAACTAGCAAAAACAAATAGAGAGTAGAATTAGAAATCCTGGCTAAACCACTGATTTAAATTATTATACATTAAATATTTTCTTCATAAATATTCATTGGAAATCAATCAGTTTTTTTAAGCGTTGAGTATTGAATGACTTTTGAAAAGGAATATTTAAGATTCTTTTAAACACCTATAGGATATGAGTATTTTCCCTCCTGATTTTTTAAAATTAATCTGGTAATTGTGTTATGCAATTAGGGTTAAAAAAGGAAGGAAACACTAATATTTTTTGATCATGTCTATTATTGATTATTTTATGACCTTCGAATTGAAAAGGTATACAACATAAAAAGTGTTTACATGTTTTTTGTTCACATAATATAAGTTTCTGCTCAAAATCAATGTACACCCCTGTAAACCTTTTTTAAAATAAGTATTTAGGGCTTTAAAAAGTTTTTAATATTTGATATAACTCATAATTCTAAAAAATTAGGGTAAATTCAGTCAGAATTGTTCCTTCAACATTTGATGCTAGGAAGAATGCAATATATAAAACATATGTATATAAAATAGCTGTCCCAAAATATCCAAATGACCAACTTATAAATAAGAAGAAAGGTTACAATTTCTCGTTCTTTTTTTTCGTTTTAAATTTTTTTTAAATTTAAAATATAATTACCAATATTTTATTGCAAATTTTTATTTATCATTATTTTAACATAACCTATGGGATTCATTTATTTATATTGAAATCATATAATACTACACATAATCTTAATATACCATATTCATATGATTATAAATCCATAACTTACGAAACAACTTCTCAGATCACCTGATACCTCGATTGCTTCTCTACTTACCAAAGTGTTTGGTAGCTAATCCTTACAATTAGTGTTAAAAAGTGGAGTTCACCCGACTCCGCAGAGTCTCTAGTCGTTAGTCGACTAACTCAAGTCTATAAACTTGAGTCGACTAGAGGACGAAGTTCATGAACTTTAGGCGACTAGAGGACGAATATTTCAAATTGGTTAAATTAAGATATTTGTTCTGTTTTTTTTACTTTAGACTTCCAACTTGAGTCGACTAGAGGACAAAAAGTTCTATGAAATTGAGTCGAATAGAGGACGAATAGTTCTATAAACTTGAGTCGATTAGAGGACGAAGGTTTAAAATTTTGATTAATAAGACATTTGTTCTGTTTTTTTGTTTTTAACTTTAGACATCCAACTTGAGTCGTGAATACGAAAATACAATTGAGTAGACTAGAGGACTAATAGTTTTATGAATTTGAGTCGTCAGTTGAGTCGACTAGAGGATGATGATTTCAAATTAGTTATTATTAATAATAAAACATTTGTTCTGTTTTTTTTTATTTTTTAACGAGTTATATTCTTAAGTCGACTAGAGAACGAGTAGATTATTAGGAATGGGGAAGTTCGGGATTTGAATTTAGCCTAGAATTTTTAATATTTTTTTTAGAATATTTAAGGCTTTTATCAGAATTATGAACAAACATTATAACAATTTATTTTAATATACCTACATTTTATACCAACATAATGTTTATTATAAAAATCGCGGGGGTGGGGAGGTTTACTGGTAAAAACTATTCATACTGTGATGTATATTGCCGACATTTTTCTGAATGAACCTAAGTTTTATTATGTTAAGACAAACATTGGTTTTATTTTAGACTTTTTATCGGGATGATTTTTTATCCCACAAAATTAATTTAGCTCGTTTTGTCTCTAAGCGACAATTTTGAGAATTGTAGATTCCTGATTTTTCAAGTGTTCCTTTATCATAATCCCTTGCCGTTTGATTAAGGTTTAAGATCTATCATAGATCTAATCTAGGAATTTATTAATATTCTCTTTACGATTTTTATTTTTTTAAAATAAATTAGCTTTTTCAAATTAAAATACTTTATTTGTATGCAAGGTCCTTCTACACACATAGTTACAAAAAATTGTTACATAATTCTATCAACATGTTATCTAGTAGAGGGTTGCTGTTATCTTCATCACTATCTAGGTATGACATTTTAGTATGAAAAGATGTGAAATAAAAAAAAATGGGAAATAATTTTATCAAATTGTTTTTATATAAAATAATTTTAAATATGAATAAGAAATAAATAATTAAAAATAGTAGTTACCCTCCACACCTCAATTACTCAAAATAAATTATATTATATGTTATATGGCGTCTAGTTTCTATAAATAAAATTGATAAATTTAGATATATTTAAAAAAATTCTAAGACCCGACCCGGTCCGAATTTTTTTAAAAATTAGGCCCAACCCAGCTCGAACCCGATTTAAAAAAAAATATTTAGTATTCACGACTCAAGTTGGAAGTCTAAAGTTAAAAATAAAAAAAACAGAACAAATGTTTTATAATTAATAATAACTAATTAAATCTTCGTCCTCTAGTCGACTCAAGTTTATAGACTTGAGTTCACGACACTTACTCGATTAGCAACACTAATTACAATTATCATTTTATAACGCTTTAAATATTATATTATACCATATTGGAATATGTAATTTATAGAGATTCGGAATTTTTTAATTTAAGCACTTACTGAGGCTATTATAAATTTGGAAAGGCTGATTTGACCGGAATGTATTCCAGCATATATAAAGTAATTGCATTTCATATTTTGCCGTTGTAAGAATTCTTAATTTTTATATAGATTTTACATACAAATTAAATACGCAAAAGTTCATGGCAAAAAGTCATAGATTCGGTACTCTTTAATATCCTGGAATACATTTCCTGTCAAATCAAAATTTTAAACTTAAAAATTGTTTCCAGAATGATTTAAAATTGAGACATTTGATATTCCCCTATAAAGTTTTAAAAAATAAATTAGACTGAAGATACTTTTCACCTCCATTACTCCTATTTTATTGTTATTGATCGCATTATTCTTGTTTAATTTTGAGTGTTTTAAAATTTTATTAAAATGATTTGCTTGCTTTTCTTTTCTTAGATATGTTGTAACAAATTTTATAATGATGTAATTCATTTATAAATTAAATTTTTATTTTTATAAAATAGTCTTACTAGGATCGGAAGATAGTTTAAAAGAAATATCTTCAAACCAAAGTTTTTATTTATTTTTACTAAAATATTTACATATTTTCATCGCCTTCATTTTTAAAAAATAATGAAATTTTTACTCATTTTCATGAAGTTTTTAAAAAGATATTTAAAAATATTTTAAATATTAAATTGGGCGATTTCAATTGGAATTTCTCACAATTACCTTCGAAAATGGAAATTTTAGATTTATATCCACTTATATCTCTTTATTTTTGGCATCACTTTTGATGGACAACGCAATGCTATCTTCCTTTATTTCTAAAGATAACCTTTTAAATTCGACCTTGAATGTGACTGGCCTTGCCATAAGCTGTTACTTTATTTATTTTAATTTACTAGGAAAAGATAGATTTATATTATAGTATACTTTATTATAGCCATCCAACCAGCATTTCATTTTTTTGTCTCATTTAAAAAATAAAATAAATATAAGTTATAGTAGATCGAAGTAGAGATAACAAACATTTATACTACCAACAAAGAATAAATATAAATTCCAAAGAAGAAGAAATTTATCACGAGAGATTGTCTTGCTTTGCTATTCCTTTATGGGCTCAAAACTTGATTCATTTCTTCCCGTAATTTGTATAATATAAATGTATTGTCTTTTTGTTCTCTTTAATTTTTTAAAGAAAGATAAGTAGAAAGAAAAATAATAAAAAAAATTTTATTATAAAAGTTATCCAGATTTTTGCAGACAAAAGGTTGGAGAAGCTATAAAACTGTTTGTGGGAGACCACGATTTTGCTACATTTATGTCACCATGCTCTAAAAAGTCATCGCAGACGCATAAATACCTTTTAACCAAAAGAACTATTAGCTCCGCCGAATTTTACCCGCTCGGCAAGAATATCAACGACCAGGATACGAAATTCAATTTTATTGATCATTTTTTCAATCTATCAGAGTTCGATTATTATCAGTTCACCTTTGAAAGTCGAGGTTTTCTTTATCATCAGGTATATGTAGTTGAGTTGCGGCATTCAATTTTATAATAATTGATTGAGAAATGATATTGTTAAATATATTTTTTGATACCAAATTTAAAATTTTTTTAATAGATAAATATAATGTGTCAGCGAATAACAATTTAAGAAAGCAAAATATCTCTGTGTTTGCAAGTTTGAACGAGCACTCTATTAATTTAAAATTTGTTATTTACAGAGATTAATATATTTCATAATTGATTAAAAGTAAGATTGCCAATTGGGATGAACGAATACGCTGGGCCCAGGAATATACCTTGATTTAAATTAAAATGGAATTATTTTCTTTTAGAAAACGATTAAATTGTCAAAAAAAAAGTTAAAGGGGATCCAACCACCAGGATCCTCATATCTTTAGCTAAAGGAGTAAATTAGTTGTTTACCATTTAGGTTAGGAAGATGGTAGGCGCCCTTCTATCCCTTGGTATTGGAAAAATAAGTATAGAAGATATCCGTTATATGCTTGACAATCCTGATATCGAGAATTGGAATCCTAGAATACTCATGGCACCTGCCAATGGTTTATATTTAGCCGATGTCAAATATGATTTGAAAGGTTTTTGTTGAAATACATTTTGTTAGATTGATTAAACAAGTGAATAAATTACGATATTTAGACAATTAGGGGAAACATACTGTTTGATTTGTGCGCATATATTTCACAATTAAATACGAAAATTGTTATTTAATATATAAATAATAATAACTTATAAAATTTATTTCAAAAAATATGCAAAGATTTAACCAATTTTACCTCAGACTATCCGTTATTTAAATACGACGAAACTGGAACCATTATCGATAGTTGATAAATTGACAAAATTTATTGTTTATTATTGTTAATATGCCTTTTCATACGTATAAATATTTCTATATAATTTGACTGTCCAAATTCAGTTGCTATCTCCCCATTTAATTGTATTATATAATAATAAATAATTTTCAAAAATATAATATTTCGTCACTTTATCATTATAGGGTTCTAATTTCACTTTTGGTTTAAATGGAGCTGGGATCAAATTAATGTTCATAGGTTCTGTTCCCTTTACTCATCATTAAAATCGGCAACAATGTAAAAATTTTTTATAGTGATAGCTAATAGTAGACTGGAGATTTTAAAAGTCGTTTTCTTATAGAATTGATGATAGTGGAGTTTATTTTATCATGAATTATAATCAAGCGAACATTCACTAATTTGTTTATTTTTATAACGGGAAGGGCTTTATTCGGTTACCAATTTAATGATATACTTTGATTTGGAAGTTATAAGATGTGTTAACAAGACTCAGGTTTAAATTCTAGCACCGGTTTACAATTTTCTTCAGCCCAATTTTATTTTGCTAAAACTAATTTTATCTTACAAGTGCTCCCCCCCCCCCCCATTAGGAAGGTAAAAAAAAGATATTTATGAATGCGTTAATTCAGAAGAAAATGACCTGACTTGTCTAAACCCATCAATCAGATATAGTAGTCAGGGTAGTCTCATTGTCGAAATATAAGTTTTTATGCATTTTAACAATAATAAGTATTAAAATATAAAGGTATATACTAAAATAGTTTTATTGGCAGCTTCATTTTATTGAAAATTTTATTTATTATAACTCTTATCCTCTATTATATTATATGAGACCTGTAGCAATAGCTAATAAGCGTGCTATTTTTGGGGAAAATGAGAGCATCTAATAAATGTTAAAAAAATTAATAATAATTAAATTAAAAATTTTATTTACACAATTTTGATTTATTTTTTAAAATTTTCATATCAAAATTTACTAAGCTAAAGGATATTTTTAATTTTAGCAAAAATTGCAATTAGACATTTTACCATTTAAATTTATTGTTGTTTTTAGAAAATTCAAAATTTTATTTCTTTCTTTTTATTTATTAAAAATTATGCATATTTGGGGGGTAAATTAATTTTATTTTAAATTTTAGGCTTTTTTATGAAAAATATTCAAATTAAAAAACATGTTTTCAACCTTAAATTTAAAAATAAGGTTTTTACTTTATAATAGTTCTGTAAACGTTGCTTCAAAAAAAGAAACGCGTTATTCCTTGCGTCAAAAAAAGTTGTAAAAAAGGAACGCGCTTTACTGCCTGTTCAGAAGTAACTCGTTACTTGAAAAATTAAATATTATAAAAATTTCTTATGTATATCATAAATAAAATTATACAAAAATAATATATTATAAGATAAGATATTTTTATAATATTTTTTTATTTATTTTTAACAACAATTGATTTTCAAAATTTTGAACAGATAAACGAGAGAATGCTCAACACTTCTTTCGCCGTGCTAAACACACGTTCAACTGTCGCAGATGGGAGGGAATTCATTAAAAATTAAATAATCCCTATTTTGATAAAAGTTATTAGATCATCTTCAAAAGAATATTCATTCAGATCTTCATCAAATTTTTTTTTATCTTTTTCAGATAATAATCTGGTATGTGTTTTGTTTTTTAAAGGAATCAATGTCTGCCTTTTCTATGTCAAGTTATTTTCTCAAACTGGGAATAAGTTCGAGCTTTCAACCTTCGGTGACTTATAATTTTATCAGCCAATCCAATTTAAATGGGTGCAGGCGCGTAACCAATGGGGGGGGGGGAAGGGGGAAATTTCACCTCCCATCGCAAATTTGACTTCCTAAATATCATTTTAAGCTAATAAAAATTTTACCCCCCTCCCCTGCCCCGTCAAAATTTTTCAATATCAAGCAGAGTTTATCTTTACTGCTAGTTGCATTAATAAATTATTTTCCAGCTCACTACTCTGTAGAAATTTACAAAAACCAATCGATTTGGTTCAAGTTATTGATTTGGAGGATAATGTGAATAGGAAGAATGAATGTAGATGAATATTTCATAAAATTTATATAGACGTTGAATCAAAAACTAAATCTTATAGAATATTATAAAATATCCTATTTCATCCCATTCTTAGAAAATTTTTTATCGCAAATAAAAGTACGGTTTTTAGATAAAAAACAAGTCTTTGATAATCATCAAATTTTATTACCTAAAGATCGTTAATCGTTTTCTGATGCCATTATTGGTAAAATTAAATATTTAGCAAAATTTTATTCCTATGATATTCATACTGAAATCAATTTAATCAGTGAATTCGAATTGTGGTATAAATATTTACTACGTTTATTATTTTACTTGAGCATGCTATTGATGCGCTCAATCGGTATAAGGAAACCTTGGCTTAATTTCCAAATATTTTGAAGGTATTTAATATCCTAGCATGTTTGCCTATTACAACATAAACGAATGAAAGGACCTTTTTCAAATTGAGATAGTTGAAATTTTTTTTACAAAATACTACTTCCAAATCTGGGCTAAATCGGTTAGCTCTGTTAAATATCCATAGAGATTTGATTCCAACGACAAATGAATTTCTTGATGAATTGGCAAATTTCGCACGAAAATTAAAAATGGCATTATAATTCTAATATTTAATAAATTTTTTGTATAATATTGTATTTGATAATAAGTTATAAAAACTTGTTCTTTAAAAAATTTTCTAGTCAATATTTTATATACACTACAATTAGTATTTTCAATAAAAAAAATTTTATTCTATATATTATATGAGAATTTAAGTTGAAACTAGTTTTTAAGCCAATTTTATTTAAAAAAATTGACACTAAACTTTATTTCAATTTTATATTTAAAAAAAAAATTTATTTATATAACCTAACTTAAAATAAAAAGTGGGTTATATATAACCTTTATTTCTTCTTTAAATATTCATAATCGCAAATTAGTAAATAAAAGCTAAAAAATATTAATATAATTATTATTGAATTATGAATAATTTAAAAGAATAGCTCACAGATATGACCCGGCTGAAAGTGGGAGAAAAGCTGGCTGAAGGCCCGCCAAAAGAGTATTGGGGCAAAGCCCCCCAAAAAAATCCCCCCCCCCCCGTATAGGAAAATCCTGGATACGCCACTGAATGGGTGAATTATTAGTGATAGTATATATTCATCTTTATAGATGTGTTCGAAAATATTGAAAATAAATATAATCAAAATATAAATTGTAAACAATATTTCAACTGTATACCATTTATGTATGTCTTGCAGGATTGTATTAATAACTTGCTTACAAAACTTGAAATTATTATTTAAAACAATTTTTTAAGTTTTGATGTTATATTAGTTATCGTGGGAGTGAGATATCCCAAATATTCTAAAATCGAAAGAGCATTATAACAGGTTTCATAACATAAAATCAGAGTTGTTAAAGGATCGAATCAAAAGATCGCCGATCCTGGATTCGATCTTAAATTTGTTTATATTCTCGGAATTAAGATCCTGACCTTAAATTGTGGATCGTGATCGAGATCATTTTTTTAAATATTCGATCCCGATCCTTTTAAAAATTATTTTTTACTTAAAAAGCAATAAATAAAATATAAATTTTGAAAATTAAATTAAAATATTATTAAAAAAAATATCTATCTACATCATATTTTATCAACCACCATTCCACGAGATTTTATATTTCACCAATTATCCAAATTTTTAATACGAACAAGTTATATTTATTTATTAATTATATTATAATATAATTAATAAATTTTAGGTTTTAATAATGTCCTCCATTATAGATTTAGAACATGATACATCTACTTCTATTGATGTGACAACAGATATAAGTGAGAATGAGAATCTTTTACCATTTCATAATTTACGTTAGTATTTTACTTTATGTGAAATGTGAAACGGATGGAAGTAACCATACAATGATCTATGCAAAATGCTATTTATGCAAAAACAAAACATCTTCTTCAAAGATTAGCAATTCAAACCTAAAGAGGCATTTAGAAGTAATTAATTCTTTTAAAAATACAATTTTTATTATTTGTGAGGATCATAACAATATGCATATAATAAAAATTATTTACAATATTTATTAATGTGTTAATCTTAATTATAATAATCAGGAATTTTAATATTATTAATATTAGCCCATTCTTAGCAATGATATGAAAGGGAGATTAGTATTTTTAATGGGAGCTGAAATTAATTTTCAGTATTTAAAACCCTTCAACCACATATAAATAATATACTTAACTTAATATATTTAATATGTAACCCTTTATTCATAAGTTTTTAAATGCTAAAAACTCATTTTATTCATATCATAGGAAAATATTTTCTCAAAATCTTTTTCCCATATCATCTTGGGCAGTTGTTAATGATAAACAATTTTAACTTGAATTTTTAAGATAACCTATATTACTTTTTTAATCACATGTGGGAAGTTTTTAATAATGGTAGAAAATATTGTAAACTTAGATTAAATAATATACTTTATCATATATAACAAAATTTGTTTTGAGCCCTTTATCATTTTTTTTGTTTATACAGGTTTTACTTGGCCAGGGTTAGCAAGTCAGTCAATCTGAATAGAAAAATATGTTTGAAAAAGAAAAAACGATATAATTACATGTGAAATGTGATCACAATGCTTATTGAGTTCAGCATTTTAATCATAGTGAATTTAATGAAGAATGTAATAAAATAAAAGAATTAGGCATACAAGGTGGTGATCAAAATATTTAAAGTTATATTATAAATTTCAAAAATAAAGGCGGCTTGTTTAATAGAAAATTATGGGGATAGCAGTAACTTCCATAAGAAACAATCAAATTTCAATCTCAAGCAGTGGAATTAGCTTTGACCACCATGGCCATTAAGAGAAGTGACATTACTAACAATTCCTAGATCTACTTCTTCTTCAGAAAGAAATTGGTCGATTTGTGTCAATAATCTTACTAAAACAGAAATCGATTG